AAAAAAAAAAAAAAATTATTATTCTAATAATATTACATTATTATTATTTTTTTAATTAAATTATTTTATTTAAAAGTTGCAAGCAATCATCATATGAACATTATCGTGACAGCCTGTTTGGCTGACAGGCCACTAGCAATTTTAAAGGGGTCATATGATGAGCGTCACACACAGTGGCCTAGAGTGAGCAGAGGCCGGGGGCTAGGATGGGGAACGGCCGAAGGGCTAGAGTGAGCAGAGGCGGCGAATTCGACGAAGGAGCGTCCGGCGGGCTTATGGCAACCACATGTGATGACCCCGGGCTGGACTCCGCTTCGTCCACGGTGAAAGCCGATCCGGCGATCCACAGCGCAAAGTTGTAGTATTTCTTCAGTGACCAGCACGGATCAGCTCCAGGCATGACGAAGCAGATATCGTCCTCTTTTGGAAGACCAAACAAAGTAGTTTCGCTTTCACAACAAAACACACAGCGCCTTCACGACATGGCGGCGGCAACAACAATACTACAGCAAGAATAAAAGTTATGCCTTTTTTCTTTGCGTGAACATTTGGGCGGCGTTATGCAAATCTTCCCACATCGTGATGTAGACATGTGGGGGCGTGTTAGAATGAGCCGTTTTAGGTAGGCGTGGCTGACTCTTAACTTTTATAAAGAATATCTCTTTGGATTTGAGACTTTAGTCTTTGCAACTTTACAGATCTTCTTTATGCACCAAGAGCTTGTAACACTCCAAAGAGAAAGGAAAAATTGAAATCGCATCATATGACCCCTTTAAAGTGATAATTGTGTGCAAAATATGGCCCAATGCTACAAAATACAAGACTCGTGTTACACCAAAAACCTCCTGTGGACATGTTAGACTCAAACTAGAGCTAAATAATGTAGTGGCGAGTTGATAAAATCACGTGGGAACTGCTATCACGCAAGTTCTCCTCACACACAAAAATGCAACAAAAACACTTATTTTTGTTACAAAAATGCATCGATTCGCTACAGAAGGCCTTTGTTCCCCCCCTCCCCGGAGCCGTGTGAGACATTTTTTATGGATGTGCGCTTTTTATTTAACTTCTTTTGGACTGATGCATGCAACACCCGCTGAGTGGCACTAAACAGCTTGAAAGATCAAAGACTATTTTTAATATACAGTAACTCCGACTGGACACCTAGGATGACTTGATGGTGAGTAATTTATGGGCTAATTTTCATTTTTGTGTGAACTAACTCCTCGGTCCTGGCTGTGAATCAGGCATCCACACATGTGCACAGAAAGCCGCTTCTGACAGCACGCCAGTAGTGCAGTGAGTTCTCTTTTGGGCTTCAACGGACAAAAACGAGCACAATTATATAAAAAGGCCCAATTTTGGTGAGTCTTAAATTTGTTAAAAGGTCTTAAATAAAGAGTTGGGAGAAAATCGAAAGTTTGTCAGATCCATGTCATAAGCATCAGGTTTTAGAAAGACAGCAGGGCTTTTAAAGTAAAATCTGCTGCAGTCTCTGCCATTTATTGGGGGGAAAAGGAAAGAAAAAGAGAATTATTTTCAAAGAGAAAAAGAGACATATAAAAACTATATTCAGTTTATAGTATACAACTTACAATTTTAATATACAATTTATAGTTTATGTGAAGACGGTTTTATTCACTTAAATTAAAAGTTATTATTTCAATGCCTAATAAATGTTAAATGAATGGCTATAATTAAGGGAAAATGCGTTTTGAGACGTCAGAAGCCTAGTATTCGTATCAATGATACTGGCCTGCATTGATAATAGGCAACTAAGTAAAAAGATGCCATTAAACACATATTTAAACTATAGCGTGTTTCTACATTAATTTGGAGATTCAGTGTGAAATTATGACAATATAAATATATTAATATGTGATTAATTACAGAAAAATGTGATTACTTTTTTCATCGACTGACAGCATTCAGCATTTATTATATATATAATCAAATTAAATGTAAATAAAATGTATAAATTGTAAAAAATTAAATGTACTTATTTTATTAATTTAGTTACTAAGGCAACATTTCAGATTTTAAGTATCTAATATTTATATTTTGAGCTTTACCTGTATTTTAGTTAACAAAAACTACTGTAATGATTTTAGTTAACAATGCAACTTTAGACGATTGACACAGAATAAAAATGGCCTCACTTGAATGTGCACCATAATTACGTCCATAAACTGCAACAACATAACTGCTGTTTACTTACAGGCTTTCCGAGCTTGTTTCGTTCCCTTCAAAAGAACCCACAAACACTTCCAACAAGAGGCTGGAGCTAGCCTACAAGGACTTAATAGAATCTCCTGCTGATTTTCCAACATATCTATCAAAACTTTACAGGCATCTGAAAATGCTTATGGACCCTGCTACTATTTGCTCCACAGTGCTCCAATACAGCATGTACCTAGAGTTTGGCCTGGGATCAGAGGCTTTACTGGGGAGGTAGACGACTTCTTAATTACAACTTGTAATTTCATGAAATTTTAATTAGTCTTTATCGTTAAAGTGTGTGGTGCTTATGCTTTGATACTGTTCAGGTAATACATCACCTGGGTAAAGCCTGTAGATGGCAGAATGGAACACTTACACTTCTTTTTTCCAAAAAGGTCCAAAATTAGGTCCAAAAAAGACGACCCAATACGATGCACTTAGTGTCAGGGAAGATATGAAATCAATGGGTTAGTCTCAAAACCTCATTATTATCTCTACCGGATACAGTGTAATGCACATCGATATTAAAAATTGCAATGCGTTAGGAAGTTGTTTTGCTGCCTGAAACTCAATAGACAAATATTGACTGGTGTACTTCAAAAGCTATGATAGCATGTGGTAACATGATAACCAGCTTCACTTCTAGAGTATTCAAAACTGGTATAGTTCCACTGGGCAGACCAGTGAATGAAGCCAGCACATGGTGACCAGTTCAGATTTACAGTCATTTAATAGATGTCAAATGTAACTTACAAACGGAAAAGACACGTACCATTTTCAAGAATATACAAGGACACAAATCATATCACACAATCATCGTGTGCAATCTGTCATCTTTGGGGCAGGAACGAATTGTTCGGCAAAGGAAGAATACAAAGAGTCAACCTTAATCCTTGTTTACTACATGTATTTTACAAAATAGTTGCAGAGAGAGGTATTTTACATCTGGAAACAATGACTTTAAGTGTAAATCTTGAAAATATTGGTACAGCTGTTTTTACAGCTATGGTGAAGATTTAAATAACAGTGGAATAAGTTATAACATTTGACTGTTTATTGTGGTGTTGGGATCAGCAATGACCTTTCATTTCTTCCTTTTTTTTGCGCTTACATCAATACAGAAATCACAGAATACATAGATGTACAAATATGAAGCACACGGTCTCACTCCTAGGGAAAACGTGAGCAGTCAGTCAGTCGGCCAGTCAGGGAAACAAGTCTTGACTCTTCCAGTTCTTTCTTTGAGGGGGGG